TCTAATGCACCCGATGCACTGCTTCCCGTAAGCGCGCTATAGACGCGTCGCGATCAGACCGAACGAGGAACCGTAAACTTAGCGACCCGGTACGCTAGATAACCCGATATTAGTTCCGACGACTTCCGATGCTGAGACTCAACTCTTTCAACTGGTGTCGACTCACTCCCTTACCCGTACCCCCCGCAGGCCCCGCGGCCACCCGTAGCGGAGGGGGATTCCGAAACTACCCGCTTGTGCGGGAGAATAAAAGTGAGCCGACCTACCTTATTTTGGTATAAACCAACAACTTTAAATTTGCATTAATATGACGTCAGTATAACGCAACTATACCGAACAGTCCCCCGCCCCAGCCAGACTATACCTGGCTGCGTCCAAACTTCTTAATGGAAGATTATACTTAAGTAACTGGGAGTCGGGAGAGAGTTGCGACCGCTCGCTTTAACACCGAATTGCCTACTAACACCTCGGCAACCCGAGGAATACCGTCCGCGCCTACAATTAGCCTCAGGATTCGACCCCGTCTCCAAGACAGCGTAGGCATATTCGTCTCTTTCACTAGAACGAGATCTCCAACCTTAGGTGGGTCGGTCTTGTCACACCATTTAACCCGTTGCTGTAACAAATGGAGGTATTCTAAGCTGAATCTCCACCAGAAGCTTTGGGAAAGTTGTTGCAGCAACTCGAAACGAGTTAACCTATTTAATGGTGTCTCCGTAAAAGGATACTCCGGTAGTGCGGTGAGTGGTCCACCAATCAAAAAATGACCTGGGGTCAAAACCTCCAAATCATTGGGGTCCGAAGACACAGGACACAGTGGACGCGAATTAAGAACCGCCTCAATCTTACAAAATACCGTAGCCAATTCTTCGAAGGTGAGCACCGTTTCTCCGATGACTCGTCGAAGATGAGTCTTAGCTACCTTCACAACCGCTTCAAAAATTCCACCCCAGGACGGATATGCAGGGGGATCGAATCGCCATTCTTTACCGCGTTTAGACATATTGGAACCTATTGAAACCTGATTGTCATTCAAAAACCTAAAGACTTCC